CTCTAATAACCAAAATTTAACACGCAATGCTGAACTCACAAAGATATTCCTACGTGAACACCCCGAAATAATTATCACCAGAGCTGACAAAGGCCATACTACTATTGCAATAGAGAAAGACACGTACATAGAAAAAATGGAGACATTACTTAATGACAAGAACACATACATTACAATTAAGAAAGATCCTACTAAAAAACTAATTAGTAATCTACATAGTTTATTAGTAGAATGGAAGAAATCGAATTACATCGACAATTCGATTTATAAAAGACTCAATTGTACAGATGGCACACTACCAAGAGCATACGGTTTACCTAAGATCCACAAACAAGATTGCCCACTCCGCATAATTGTCTCTTCAGTAGACAGTCCACTCTATGCCTTTTCGGCCTTTTTACATAATATCATTAAATCATCCATTCCTAAACCAGAGAGCCACATCCTCAATAGCTTCGATTTAGTCAACAAACTTAATGGACTACATATCCAAGAAACACATGACCTGATCTCATTAGATGTAGTTTCTCTTTTCACTAATATACCTTTGGACTTAGCAGAGGAGAGTATCGCAAACAGATGGACATACATATCCGATAACTGCTCGATTCCTCGCGACGAATTCTTAAGAGCTATTCGCACGGTACTGAAATCGACTTATTTTTCCTTCAATTTCATAATCTATCAACAGACATTTGGCACACCCATGGGGTCTCCGTTGTCACCAATCATTGCAGACATCACTATGCAAGACTTAGAGTGCAAAGCGATGGAGACTCTCAGATTTAGGCCCATGTTTTACATAAGATACGTAGACGATATTGCTATGTCGGTCCCCTCCACCATGAAATCTTCAACTCCTTCCATCCGAGACTACAATTCACCATGGAGGAGGGAACAAACAGAAAATTGAATTTCCTTGACACAACAATTAACATTAGAGACAACCAAATAGAATTCGACTGGTACCAGAAACCTACACACTCCGGTAGATATTTAAATTTTGACTCTGCTCACCCTCTTTGCCACAAAAAAGGTACTATAATCTGCTTAATCGATCACGCACTGTTACTTTCACATCCAAGATACCATCAAAAGAATCTAGAGCTTGTGATTAACACCTTATTACAAAACAATTATCCTCTTCCTCTTATCTTTAATACCCTCAACAGAAGGCTAAAAACTTTTTTAAAAAATCAGAATACGATACACATAGATAATAATACAGTTAACACAGCTACCAAAAAATTCTTCAACATACCGTACATTCCTAGATTCTCCCATCAATTTAAACAAGTTCTCCAAGATCTTAATATTACTCTTTCTTTTACCAGTATGAACAAACTGAGTCGGGTTATCAAAGCACATAAAGATCCTCTTCCTAAAAGTGCTCAAAAAAATGTAGTGTATAAAATCTCGTGCAAAGACTGTGACGCTTCGTATGTGGGCCAAACAGGTAGATTATTAAATACGAGAACTAAAGAACATCGCAATCACATTAATAGAAATACCCAACAACAGTCAGTAATTACTGAACACAGACTCTTAGGCCATGAATTTGATTGGGACAACGTTGACATTCTAGATAGAGAGACATTTTTATATAAACGACTAATTTCTGAAATGATTCATATAAAAAGACAAAAGTCTAGACTTAACTTACAGACCGATACCGATCTTTTAAATACATATGACCACATTATTGACAACATGGATGATATTTAAAAATTTGACACTAACATATAGTTACATTACCAACTCAAATATTGTTATGGCAATCCTGCTACACCGAATAGACTTATATCTTCGCATTACCACCAGTCATTGTCAATTGTTATTTACCACTCGTCGTGACTGTCCTCTCTTAACTTGGGTGAGTTATCACATTTTAAAGTTTAACGAACAATTTTACGAAATAGATTCTTAAACTTTTAGAATTATCAATTATACAAATCGCACTCTTTACCTGGCAAACACCAGTTCAAAGACAAAATTGCGTTGATAATAGATGACAGTCGTGTGAACAGTGGATCAGATTAAGTCTAATTATTTATAATCAGGTATTAATCACTACATTGTAAAAAATTCATATTAATATGTTGTAACATCGCTTAATCTTACTTTGTATCATAACTTTTATCCCAGCTTCACTGAGGATGACCCAAAAACGGGTCGAAACGTTTGGATCTTTTAATAAAGTGTGTTTTTTCAAAAAACATCGATAATTTCGCACGGACACCTGCTGGAGGCTCGCATTGGCCGTTTCTCCCTACCTACCTT